AAAAAAAAAAAGGTACAAAGAATATAAAAAATTGGCATATAAGACACAGCCATATAATAAACATCTTATTAACCGAGCTAGGTCGGTCTGTATGGGAGAATCTTGACCTCGGTCGCTGGTACAGACCTCACTGCGTTCGGTCTGTACTGGCGACCTCGGTCAAGATTCTCCCATACAGACCTCCCGCTCAGTTAATAAGAACTAAATATTGGACTCTTTGGAGATGATATTCGGAAAACAGTCGACGCAGCAGTGAATACGGATTGAAATGTATTTTGGTAAGGACGCGTGGAAACGAAAGCATATAGTTTACGAAATGATTGAAACTAAGGCAACGTATTGCCATTAAATGAAGTTGAGTCATTTAGTAAATGTTCACAGCGGTCATTACCAATGCAACTGAAGTGTATGAACATGAAACAGATTTATATCTTCTTTCTTAGTAGACCTACACTTCCAGCGTAATGGTTAAATAAGCCAGTGAAGATTAATATCGAAAGGTGTTTATCATTTATTGATACCTTCTAATATGCGCGTGAAGGCATCCTTTGCAGTTTCTGTGGTCACATCTCGTTTGAACTGGTTCCTTTAGTGGCAGATGACACATCAGGCACTGAAAATCTCTGTCAACTGCTTCCACAAAGTCTTCATCGTGTCTCGAAGGAGGGCGAGATTCATTCGACGCGGATTGCGTTATTTTGAAAACTAGTACTTAATTATGATGCAATATGCAAAAAAATGCGACTCATATTGCAAAGCATCTTTCAAGCGCAACCAAGCCATGATTTTTGGTCTCTATCGATCAATTTGTTTAATTCTACGAATTCAAATATTTTCGATTAATTATAGATTTATTGAGATTTTTCGTTTTAATTCAGCTTTAAAAATGCAAAATAAAGCATGAAACAAATGAGAATGGCTATGGAAAGTAAATTTTCACACTTATTTGGAAAAATTTGCTGCAGTACGAAAAAAGAAAACCCTATAATGGCTTCTCTTTTTTCAAATTCTGATGCAACGGTGAAAAGAAAGACTCTAAGGTCTCGTGTATTTCCTGATGACTTGAAGGCGTCATCTTTCTCAAACAGGTTGAAGGAAATTGTCATCCGGTTCGTCACGAGTTTCGTATAATTAAATGTCGACTCAGTCAAGCATAGATATTTCTCGGAAATTTTGTATTGTTTTCAGAGAATTGTTTTCAGTCAAGTGACAGTCGGTGTGAAGCAGTCGACAGAATATTAACTTTGTTGGAGTTAAATACAGTCTTGGCCAATGGAAATCTCTGAAAAACGCTCATTTACCTTCAGGTTATAGAGAGGATTTTATGAGTCCGATTGACGACAATTTGCTGTGTTTAATTTGTGAACTACCCTTGCAAGATCCAGTTCTGACGAGATGTGGCCACAGATTTTGTAGACAATGCCTCGAGCAACATCTTGCAAGGTTTGAGCTCGCATCTTTACTTTATTGTCCCTCGTCAATGCAAGTTACATGAACGGTCTTCTCATCGTTTAAGAAATTTCGTTAAGGTATTGAAACTCGACATAAACGTGCCTGTGATAAGTCTGTCATAACATCTCTAAGAAAGCATAATGTCGTTGAAAGCTAAGCTGGGTGACTGACATATCGCACTAAATAAAATTAAGAGTTCTCACGATTCTACTCGTAATTCAAAGGTCATGAGATGATACTTTACTGAAAAGCATTACCGTGGATAATTCATTATTGTCCACGAACGGCGGGAATGCAATGGTAAAGGCACGCTATTATCTTTGCAATTAAGATGTATTTCAAGTCTCAATTCTCGATTTTAGGGCACCATTAGCCTGTAGTTATTTTGGCAATATGTCATTTATCACAGTTTTTGTCCACAACGTTAGTCATGTAGTTCAAGTTGAAAGCGAGTGGTGGCCAGATTTTGGAAATGGGGAAGCAGAGAAGTAAACTTTGTTTATCGTCGAATGATATAAACGCTCACGGTTATTGGCATAATATATGTAAATGATATTACTATATCATTCAAAATATATCGAAATCAACATTTTTGATCTTAATTATTATCATTTAAATTTCAATAGACAAGAAATTCAACATCAAGTCTGTAACTGTCCTGTTAACAGAGAGGAACTTGAGCACAGCCTGGTGCAGATGACCGGTGACAATTAAGCCTTGTTCATGCAAAAGCAAATGCAAATTTACTAATCGAATGTAATGAATGAATAACTTTATTAACGTGTCAATCGTTCTAGTTTTACAAGTAAAAACTAATTGGGGACACCTACTACGTAAACTAAACTAATAATTATAATAATAATAAGAAGAAAAACTATATACAAACAATATGAAATTGATAAAATCAAGTTTTAAATAACTCACTATTTTCACAATTAGTTTTCGATGTAACATTTGATAGGTCAAGGACTCTGAATTCCTTTTTAAATGCAGTTAGAGAGTCAGCCATTTTGATTGATTTGTGGAGCTTCGACCAAATATAAGGTCCCATGTACCTTAGGCTATGTCTTCCGTATGTCACCGTGTTGTATCTTGGTAAGTAGAAATCGTCTGCATTCCTAAGATTGTACCTACTTATGCCGCAACTAAAACGTTCAGAAATGTATGGTGGGACTAAATTAGTCTTAACCTTACACATAAATATAGCCATGTCCTGGAGTCTGCGATTACATAACGTTGGAAGTCTTGCTTTATCTAGAAGTGCTTCATACGTGCTAGCCCTGTCACAGTAAATAGCCCTCATTGCACGCTCCTGCAGCCTTTTAAGCTTTCTCTCGTCTGACGAGCGACAATGGTGCAATACTATATGACGATATGTAACTTGGGGTAAAATAAAAGCTTTAAAAATTCTTAATTTAGCTTCAGTAGGCATTAGATTCCTAAACCTCATAAGCACTCCTACTTTCCTTTCCCCCTTAGTACAGACATTATTGATATGCTTAGTAAAGTTCAAGTCATCATCAATTGCCACTCCTAAAAGATCAATCCCGGAGCTTGATTTTATGTTAATCTCCTTTATATTTAGGTTCATTCTCTTTTTTTTGTGTCCTGGTCCTAGACTCAAAGCGTGAAATTTATCTTGGTTACACTTGAGTAGGTTTTGTTGATACCATTCAGAGGTACGAGTTCCCTCATCGTTCAGGATTGTTTCTACATCCTCAGTCTTCTGTCCAGCAGAGTACACTTGATGGTCATCAGCGTACATAGCAAGCCTATCTGTATGAATATTCTGGACAAGATCGTTCTGGAATATGTTCCACAGCAGTGGTCCTAGGTTTGATCCTTGTGGACAGCCTCTGCTTGTCTCTCTCCATTCACTAAAATCTCCTGATCTCATCCGCACCCTGTTTTTTCTTTCTGTGAAGTAGCATCTCATGTCTATCGCACTTTCCGAGAAACCATAGGCCCACAATTTTGCTAACAACAATGGCGGATGAAGTGAATCATATGCTTTCGAAAGGTCTGTCGATAATATTCCGATCACGTGTTTGTTGTCCAGTGTCCATTTCCAATCCCCCACCAGCTTAACTAAGGTGATCTCACAGCTGTTTTTCTTACGATAAGCTGTCAGGTTTCTGTTAAGACGAGGCTCCATGAAAATAGTTAGCTGTTTGCCCAGTAACTGTTCGAAGACTTTACCCAGTGTACTCAGTACTGTCATCGGTCTGTAGTTTCTAACGTCCCTCGGATTGTCCTTTTTATAAACTGGGACCCAATCCCCTCTCTTCCATTCCACGGGCCAGTAATTTTCATCAATGCATGTATTAAAGATCTTAGTTAAGGATGGCACCAAGGCACCACCAACTAGTTTGAGAACTTTGTTAGACAGCCCATCATGACCGTAACTATTGTTCGTGTTCAAGTTTGCAAGGGCTGACTGCACTTCGGTTTGACTGACTTTACTGGAGCTAAATTTGGGTCCATTCACAATTCTCATACTGTCGCGTATGTCTTGAACACTCTTGAAGTCACGTAATTGTTCCTCAGTTAATTTCAGCAACCCAGAGTCATCGATACCCTGTGCTATCCCTGTAAAGTATTCAACAAAGCAATCAGCGACCATTGTTTGATCCTGTATGTCACTGCCACAATTTTCCAGAATTATCGCACTGTCATCAACCTCTTGAGTTTTAGAGTCCAGGAAAGGCTTGAAAACTTTATAAAAACCTTTGTAAACAAAGGGCTGTCAGATACGTAAGTGCAGTCGATGATATCCAAGATGGTGGTGAGCCTTTTTTCTCAAGTATGGGGTTTCTTGAATACTCAGGGAGTATCTGTGTCACTTCCCGTATTCAATGCAGCAGAAAATTTTAACTTCCTAGCTTAAAAAGCATTTCAGTATGAAATGGATGAGCTCGTAGACAGATTCTAAAAAGGGTTGAAAAGTATTTTAGTAATAAGAGAATGCATTCGTAAACAGATTCTTCAATTACTTTATTCCAAGCGCTACTTTTTTTAGTCGTCTTTGAAATGAACCCAATTCTTGCCGTTCTGTGTAGGAGCTCTGGGGGGTAATAGATCCAGCTCAACTTTAATTTAAACTTTGAGACGTTCTGAAAGGAAGATCCTCTCGTTTACCATACTATGCCCAAATGACGGCTGCGAGTGGATCGATGAACTGAGGGAAAAAGAGGTACAGAATCTCTATGTGGCTTCAAATGTTAATTTTAAATCCCACTACCTATCCTTAACCTCTTTATCAGAGATGTAAAAGAGATTACCCTAGTATAAAAGGGTAAATATGCTTTCTGTGCTATAGGTGCTAATAGATACGTGCTTATGTGATTCAGGACCTAAGAGACACGACCCTCACCGGTTCTAGCGCTTCAAGAATAATAAAACATTCTAAGGGAAGGTTCTATAGAAGACAAAGAAGGAGAAACGAAGAGGGAAAGAAATCTTAAGAGCGTAATCTTTACATTTTCATGCATTTTGGAGCCTGTAAATGAGAAAGCCCCAGGAAAGATCACTGACGCATCCTTTAAAAATTAAGTTACGTACATTTAGCTTTTATTTGTGTCAGCCTGAGAATGACATACGTGGACATGCTGAGATTTTTACTGTTTTCCTAGAATCACCTGATATCGTGCAGTTTCTATCTTGTACCCTGTGCTAACGAAAAGTGCAATGCTTCAGTTAAAAGGCTCGGAATGGAAGGATATGTGATAAGCAGTTGTGAATGGAGAATGATTCCTTGCGATTATTGTGGGGAGCAACATCCGAAATGTCTGATGAAAGTAAGTCACAATAATATCGAGTATATTTTTTTCGTAAAGAATAACGAATTCTAAGCTATCCAAAGACCTTGAACACTAATTCATCATTAGGGCCTTCATTTTTCATAATAGCAGTGGGTGCTTGTGATATAAATAGTCATTAGCAGCTGCCATGGTTTGGAAAGTACTGTTAGAGAAATTTACCTTCCTCATGGGGTCTCTTTCTTCTCTTTCTGTCTCGTTCTAAATAGTTATAGGACGCGTTGTAATGCTGACGATATCATAAATAATGAGTAGTAGGATCTAATGGTGGGGCATTCTATTGAAAAAATGAAAGATATCTCTATCTTGGTCCTTGCAGAAACATATGGATGATTGTGCAAAGATGCCACTGGTATGCGAAAATGGTTGTCGGGAAAACATCTTACGAGAAAAGGCATGTTGAACGAGGTTTATAAACGCGGTATTTCATTGAAATCTTAAGCTGATTAAGAATTATTTTCTTTTCAACAGATCGAGACCCACAATGACAACGATTGTCTGCTGGCCATAATCTCCTGTCCATATGTTGATATGGGTTGCACCACCAAGGCAATTTTTGTTCTATTTTTTTTCTTTGTATCATTGATCACTTACACAGTAGGAAACAAGCGACCTTACTGCTTAAAAATTACAGTTTCCTCATTTAATTTCTGTGAATAATTGCAAATAATCTCATATTTGAAAGCGTGTTACGGCGGCTGTCATTGGTGCAGATAAGTCCAACCAATTCCATAACATCTTAATTATTAGTTATCTCCGTGACATTTATTCCTCGTTTCAGATTCCAAGAAAGGAAGTCGAACTGCACCTCCAGACCACAATGAGAATCCACTTTGAAAACGCCTGCATAATTTTTTAAAAGGCGAATTCTAAATTTGAAGAGAAATTAAGAGCCCTTGAATTTGACCAAACAATACTAATACAGGAGAAATCTACCCTAAAACATCAAGTGCAGGAGTTAAAATCTGTCAATGCTTTTCTCGAAGCAAAAGTAACTGCCCAGGAAAAAAATATGTCAGAATTGATGAGCGAAAAATTTGTGTGGAAGATAACTGATTGCAGCGACATCTTAAAAAACGCCAAGAGTAGATCCAGCAAAGATATATATAGCTCTCCATTCCTAACTGGAAAACATGGTTACAAATTTTCAATTTGTTTACGACCTGATGGAGATCACTCAGAGAGGAACACGTACATTTCTGTATTCCTACGTGTTGTGAAAGGTAATTTCGACGCCATTTTGCCATGGCCTTTTCGTTGTGACGTCACATTTAGACTCCTTGACCAAAAGGACAGGATAAATGTGTCCGAGCGCTTCATTAATCGCCCTATAAAAAGACCGAATTCAGATGCTTACATCAGTTCCATCGGCAGTAGGAGATTTGTATCCCACAAGAAAATGATAACATCGTGTTACCTTGTGGAGGACGCCATGTTTCTTCAAGTGGAGGTTTGTCCACGCAGCCAAACTAAATTCTGAGACGTGAGGACGTTGGACTGGAAAAGTACAGAAAGCAGAAAATGACCCTGTAAACCTTTAATATTTGGATATTTTAAGGTGCCCATAAATTCCAATATAGAACTGTTAACGAAAGATGTATCTTGATATGCTTATAGAAATTCAGTGGTGCACTATTTCAGAACCGACAATGGTCCCAGATGAAAACTTTGGGCAAGGTTGTAGGACCCCCTCCTCTCCCCCGAACGGCAGTTGAGCAGGTGATAATTTTTTCATCTGCGCCAATCATATATGCTTTCCCCTTTATGTATGCAGCGTTGACGGATTATTAGTATTTAAAAAATATGACCAGACAATTTTGAGCAACTTAGAGGAAATGAGTCGAATCATTTCAGCACTGATGTCATGCCTGTCATAATTACTTTAAGGGGAAATTGTAGGATATATGACAACTGAAATGTATAGTAGAATACTTTCGCGATGAATATCAACTATCAATGTCAGAAATAAGTACCTAGATAAATGATGCATAGGAAAGTGTCTGATTTTAGACTCTTTGAAGAGGAAAGGATCCATTTTCACTTTTCTTGACGCGTTTACTAGTTCACTTTTATATTGAGTTGTTTTTGGGTTGGTACTGGAGTAATTTTCTGTTTAACTGCTTAAGCCACAACACAAGACACATTACAGTGTAAAGATTTTGACAATTTAAGAAAATGCTGTTCACCGAGTGGTTTTGCCTTTTAAAGATCAAAAGTCAGCTGACGCAGTGAAAAGGCAATTATCAGATCTAAGCAACAAAATCGATCACACCCTTCATCTCGTGTTTAAGAGTCGCAAAATCTGTGAAGATCTCAGAGTACGTGAGCCTAAACCTCCTATAGTTAGCCAACAATGCCTTGTATATAATTATAAATGTGATCTGTGTGATGCAGAGTACGTCGGGTACACCAGCCGGCATTTACATCAACGTATT